GTTGTGCGCTAGTGTCTGTATCGTCGTCCAGATCAGGCGCGCCTGTCGGTGTTTGGGGTTGCTTTAAGCGATGCGCAGTGTTTGCGGATTTCGGTTGGCCCGAACGCGCTGTGTCCTGTGAATCTCTGGCTTGAGTGTCTAGCTTGTGTAAAGGCGCGTTGATTGCGTGATTCGCGGGACCACGGAATAAGTCGGAGCGGTCCAGTATTTGTGAGGCAGAAGCGCTGCTTTCATCCATGGATTGTATGGCGACTGACGATTCGGTGCCTGGATCGAGTGAAAGGTTGGCTGACTCAGAATCCGCTCCCCTAGGGGACAGAGGCGTTCGGTCTCCTGGCCGACCTCTACCACTGAAGCTTCGTCGCGCTTCATTGCTTGGTCTTTGTACTTCGCCGCTCGGTCGTCGAAAGGTGCGGCTTGCGTCCATGCTACGTCGCACGTCCCAGCTCCTCCTGTTGGCATCATGGCTAGACCGAGCAGACACATCGCTTATGCTCGACCTTCCTGCACGCGGTACCTGCAAAGGCGAAAGCGTGGCGCGAACATTCTCTTGAATGTGTGGTGTCTCAGCGGTAGTGGTTGGCGATGCTACAGATTCGCGTTGACCTGTCGGCGTAGATGCCTCGCCGTCAACACCTTGTTGTAAGGCTTGATGGTGCTCGTTGTCATTAATCATGATGCGTAGAACGTTGAGCGCATCTTGTCCCTGATTGAAGAACGAGAAGAAGTACTGTTGGAGTGAGCAAACATCCCATTCGTATGATAGGGAAGAACACATACCTCATCGATAGCAAACGTCTCGTCGTTATCAATAACCCTCACCTTGACCGTATTCGCCAAATCCAGAATACTGCTCTCCTCAATCTCCAGCACATTCTGAATCGGCAGGCTAATCTTCACACTGTTGCCCTCATTATGTGTCCGAAAGATGACCTTCTGGATACTCCTCGCCCACTCCTTCGCGCTCGCCGCACTGTCCGCCTTGAACAGATACTTTCGCTCATCCGTAGTGATGGTGAAGCTAGTCTCTTCTTCTCCCTTCTTTGTGGGCTCGATGACTTCGGCGGATATGGCGTATTGCAAGTTGATTCGGTTGCGCGGAAAGTAGAGTTCGGTAGGGTTGGTGTAGTATGCGAGGACGTCGCCGCGGAGAACGAACCAGTAGCGGTTGAACTTTGATCGACCGCGTTTGGAGAGGTAGCCTGTTTTGCTGACGTCGTGCTGAGAGGGTTAGCACATCATGTCGACTGCGGGGCAGAGGGTGCTTACATGTTTCTTGGGTATATACGCGTAGAAGCATATGTGCTTCTGGGTGATGTACATGTACCCTTGCAGCAGGATACTTTGGAGCAGCCAGCATGGATACTCGGATATAACCTCCTCCACCTCTTCAAACTCGAATATTTGCTGTATCCTCTGAGCAAGCGTGACGGGGGCTTTGCTCTTAGCAAGCCCTGCGGAGCTTCCGTGTCTACTCCTTCGACCCGAGCTCCTCCCTTTGTCTGCCTGTATATCCTCGCTGGTCGCGACCTTGGTCTTGTCCTTGGTCTTCGGTTTCGGGTCGCTAGGCGGGGTCGGAAGATCATCGGGTGAGGGTTTCGGGGGGAGGAACTGTGACGAGGACATCTGATCGCTGCGGCGGCTGTCTGAGCGAGCTTCCTTCCGGCTGGAGAGCTTCAACTTGGGCAGGGAACGCAATAGTTTGTTCTCGGAGAGTGTGCGCCTGTGCTTTCCCTTCTCTACCGTCGGCCCATCCAAGTCTCCAGCTGGACTCTGGAAGTCGTTGGCTGAGCTCAAGCGACTTAGTCGTGCTGCGCCGTCGAGGTTGCGGTAGGGCGCCTTCTTGCCTCCGTCGTCGCTATCGCCGGAGTCGACTTCTTGCATCGTGCCCAGGTCCGTCTGCGACTGCTGACCCGCGCGGGCTATCATGGAGAAGAGCGACTGGTTCATCGACATGGTGTTGTTCCGCTTCGGCGCCGTGACATCCTCCTGTGCATCGTCGCCATCTCGGAAGCGCTCCGGTACGTCCATAGACACACCGCGCGTTTCTCTTCTTGAGTCTTTTCGCTTTCTGCTCATTCGGCGACTCGTACTGTCCTGGCTTCTGTCTTGGGACGCCATCTCGGGATGGGGCGTCGTGCGCCTGCACTCAACAGTTATTGGATCGTCAAGGTTGCTCGCGGATGTGCTGGCGGATGTACCACGGTTGGTCAAGGCAGCGATGTGGGCTCAGGAATGTATTGCGATTTACTATCTGGAAAGGTATCGCACGCTGCAGGGCAGTTGGGAAGATCGTTAAAGGTCACATATTGGAGCGTTGAGGGAATGACTTGTAGCTGTCTCGTGGCTGAGGAGCGTGCTGCATGCGTCCGGGGTACCTACTAGCGCGATACGATAAGGTTACCCACGCACACCTCCAGGCAACGACCGCGACCGGTAACTGTGGAGTGTGACAGGCAGTGTATTCATCTATATTTCACTCGAATCCGTTATCATCCCACATGCTTCTAGGTTGCGAGCTGCAAGCCCCCAGGTCCGTTGGGGCAGTCTACAGACGTCATTGGTCAGACTTATCGATAGGTGCACGTGTAAACGCCAGCCCAAGGCGCTGCCGTCCGCTAACGTGGACTATAATAGTCCACGCGATGACAGCCAGGTACTCCAACGGAGGCGCAGACAGGCAGACAAGCGGATGCGGATGGATAGCACGATCATAAGCCCACGCCTGCAGTTCGTTCGTTCATGGTGGCAGAAAGACATCTTCCACGGCGCAAAAAACTGGCAAAAAGAAGGCAAAAACATACAACAGCGCGTGCCATCCGTGCCCGCAGGTTGGTGTAGGGCCTGTTATCTCGTGGGAGACAGCTTCAAAGCTTTGAAAAATGATATAGTTAACACATTTATATTGACGTCTCGCGATGGCAACAACAACAGAGACGTACATGCAAAGATCCATAGCATCACATGCAAACGACACAGTCATTCTTTATCCTTCTCATTGGCTGATGTACTCTTGTACAACCGAATACCCAAGTCATTAAACCTAACTACAATTTGATCCAAACGCCGTCATCATTTCCATGACGTTCCAGAGTTGTATGATATCCGTAATGGGGCGACATGGGGAGCAGAAGCTTACTTGGACTTGGCAAGACCGACGGCCGAGTTACCAAGGTCGTATACGGAGTACCACTTCCTGAGGAAAGCGTCACCGAGAATAGCAAGAGGTCCTACTGGCTCGGGGAAGTCCATGCCCATGAAGGCAGAGATGCAGGATCCCTGGACCTCGAGGATGTAGTCGAACGCGCTGATGGTGAAGTTGTGGCCGGTAAGAGTGAAGGTGAGGTCGGGCAGACTGTCACGCTTGTCGCACTCAACGGAGTACTGGCCGTTGAAGCCCTTCTTCGCACCGATCTCCTTGTTCAGGAGCTCGGCGATGGTGGAGGGAAGAGCGATCAGAGATGTACCGGTGTCAAGAATGACACCAGTGTTGTCCATCTCAGCAGTCTCCTTGCCGAAAGTGATGGCATCGAGGTCGACCTCCCAGTAGGCCTTGCGCCTGAGGGGAAGCTTGACCATCTTGCCGGTGTAGTGGCTCTCATCGATGCCACCGAAGGTAGCCTCGGACTCCTGGCCCTCGTTGGTGTCGCCGAGGTAGAAGGCGAAGACGGGCTCGTCCAAGAGACCCTGGTCGAGCATGTTGTAGAAGGGAGGGACTATGCCCTTGACACTGATAGTGTCGTAGCCAAGACCCATGATGCCGTCGAACCTGCCGAAGGCGAAAGCGAGACCAGGCTCGGAGGTGGCCTCGGCGAAGTCCTGGTGCTTGACCTTGAGGTCGCCAATCTGGAAGACATCCTGCGAGACGAAACCGCTGAGCGAGCCGGATCCGTAGCGGATCTCGAACTCGGTGCCGTTCTTCTTGTAGGTTGACGACGCCGAAGAGTCGTACTTGGTGTGAAGGTAGCAGGCAATCGAGTTGCAGCTCTGCGATGGGACCCAGAGGTTGGAGCTTCCCGTGTCGAGGACGACCTTGAAGGTCTGGGGAGGAGTTCCGAGAGAGATCTCAGAGAAGTCTGGCGCCTGTTAGCTTTCGCCACACAATGCTGCGCAGCGCGCGGAGCTTCGGAGACGTACATTGCGCGTTCAAGAAGTTGCTGACGGGCACGGGGTGGGTGCCATCGGCGATGTAGGGCGCCTTGAGCGCAGCCTCCATGTGCGACTGGGCCTTGAGGCCGGTCATGTGCTGCTGGGAGTACTTCTGCTTGAGGCCAGCCATTTGGGTCTCGATGTTGGCAAATTCCTGCTCGCGGTTAGACTGCGATCTTGCGCGTCCGAATGCGACGATGGCTTACCAGCTGGTCAGACAGAGAGACCTTCTTGAGCGGCGTCTTGTAGACAGCCGCAGAGGCCGAAGTGGCTGCTGCGAGGAGCACCGCCGTCTTCATGATTGCGAACGTTTGATGGAGACGGATGGGGTATGGAAGAAGAATGGATGGATGGGAGATGGGATGGCGGGTGGAGAGGGAGAGATGGGGAGTGAGTGGTGTGTTGGGGACGGAGCTCAAGCTGGAGCTATCTATGGGGCTGGGGAAGGCGCGGCGGGCGAATGACGAATGTGACCAGTGCTGCCTGGCCGACAGTGCGACTAGCGTGACACGTTCCCTGTTCGAGGATTGTACCTGCGCCAGGCCGCATCCGCCATGCCCCAGACAACCAGAACCGAGGTCTGCATAGTGCTATGCCAGCCACTTTATCGATGGAACTTGGTTGATTAGCTGTCGCGCATTTGAGCGGCATATCTCACGTGTCTCGTTGCATACACAAATCAGGATACGGTGGGCTTCGAGCGCGAAAGCTACCCCGTGATCACGCGCGTCAAGCTTCCATGACCTCAGCACTCGGGCTAGCAAGCTATCGCTCAGGTCCTCAGACGATCCCAAACACAAATGCTGTGCTGTCTTCCAACGCGGTGTATTCCGACCAACTAGATAACACTATCATACAGCGGTGTCCGGTTCGTCCGTGTACTGCGGCGCCTCAGCCAGGTTCGCCTCCTGCTCCCTCCGCGCTCTCTCCAGGTCCGCGGCCCACAACGCCGAGCTTGCTGGTGCCGTCATGAGGAAGAACATGCTAAGCGGCGGCACATACTGCAGCATGAGATAGACTGTGCCGTACCTACGCATACAATGTTAGAGGTGTTCCCATCAATCCATGAAGACGACGTACCAAGTGTATTGCCACCTCCTCTTCTTGATGGCAAGATTCCTCTGTTTCTTGTCGTAGCCCAGAAGCTGAAAGTATCGCCAATGCTGGAACGGACCCGCGCGATAGCCCGTGAGCAAAAGAAATATCGGCACCCCGACATATGGTATAAAGTTCACAGGCAGCAGTATGACGAACTCGGCGATCTGGCGGAAGGAGAACGGCGCGTAGACAGAAGAGCGCGTAGGCTTGCCTAGTCGACGGACGGGGTCGTTCAGCGCATCTTCAGTGACGGGACGGTGTTTGCGGACAAGGTCTTCGTAGCCTTTGTAGATGAGGACGGCGTCGAACACATCGACTTGCGATTCATCCTAGCCAGAGTCAGTACCGGAGTATAGCGTGCAGTTGGGTATACGTACCACTAGGAAAGACTCGAATAGTAATGCGACGATCGCAGCTCCCTCTCCCAAGACGAGAAACACGGCGTTGACCCATGCACTACCCGCCGTGTGGAATATCTTGAGGAAGAGTACTTGGGGCAGCAACGTCCATACAAAGAGGTTTATGAGCACGAAGAGGCTGAGAAGTACTGCCGGTAGTAGTCGCGCTTTGAGTAGAGGGTACAGGAACGGGTGCGCGAGGAAGAAGACGATGCCCTGTTGCCTGTTAGCACATGCGCAACAACAGCAGAACGAGTACAAATACCTTGACAAGATACGTCGACGCTACAACATTATCCACCGTTGGCCGCACTACAACTCTCGGTATATTCCCCAACGCCGCATGCACTCCTTGCTGTGACATGGTGGTGGTTCTCGTGGTGATGCTGAAGTTTGCATGAAACAGAGACGCGAAGGCAGCTGCGTCAGAAAGACCTCGGAAGTGACGTAGCTACTGGGACCCTGAGCGGTCCCACATCCCCCCACGTTGCACCATCCGCCTGGCCTAACTTGAGCGTTTCCCGTCGGAGGAGACGCGCATGGCATTCGTGGTGGCTTGCAGTAATGCACCGTAGTCTGTATGCGTGAACGATGTAGACGCCTCACACGCCCTGCGAACGATCCATGGGTCTTGCGATGTATATAGGACTCGTATCTCTCAAAGTGGAAACCGAGCATCAGCCTTCCAACCGACTTCACTCCAGATGAACAATTGAACCTCAACTCCATCAACACATATACTCCCCCGAAATCATCATCCACCATGTTCCACAACCCCTCCGCCTCAACCTACAAACACCCCATCCCCTCCACCAACCCCTCCGTCGAGTCCTTCCACCGCACCCTCCCCGACTACGCCATCACCCCCCTAATCCCCCTCCCACACCTAGCCCAATCCCTCAATCTAGGCCACATTCTCCTAAAAGACGAATCCAGCCGTCTCGGCCTCCCCGCCTTCAAAATCCTCGGCGCATCATGGGCCATCCAAGTCGCTCTAACCAAGAAACTTTCCCTACCCATCACCGCCACACTGCATGAACTGGGTGCAGCGGCAAGGAAAGAAGGAGTGGAGTTGGTGACGTGTACGGAAGGGAATTGGGGCAGGGCTGTAGCGCGGATGGCGAAGTATCTAGGAGTCAAGGCAGTGATTTTTGTGCCTGATTTTATGGACGAGGCGACGGCGGGGAAGATTAGGAGTGAGGGCGCGACGGTGGTGGTTGTGGATGGGGATTATGATTTTTCGATTGAGAAAGCGAAGGAGGAGGCGGGGAAGGAGAAGGGGGGGATGTTGGTTATGGATGTGAGCTGGGAGGGGTATGAGGAGATTCCTGAGGTAATTTCTATTCCTATGCCGCAGTTCATGTCTTCATCCATCTATACGTGTGGTGGAAACTAACGTGTAATAGTATGTAGTACAAGGCTACATAACCATGCTCACAGAAACCGACGCTCAACTCACTTCCATGGATATCCCCCCCGTAACCCACGCCATCGCCGCCGTAGGCGTAGGCTCCTGGGCACAAGCCGTAACCAGCCACTACAAGTCCTCGTCCCTCGCCCAAACCGCCACTGTCATAACCGTCGAGCCAGATACAGCAGCGAGTTTGAAAGCGAGTTTGGAGGCGGGCGTAATCACACCCATCTCCACCGGCCATACAATTTGCAACGGCATGAACTGCGGGACGACGAGCACCACGGCGTGGGAGGTGTTAAGGAAGGGGGTTGATGTAAGTGTTACAGTACGGGATATTGATGTGCATAATGATTTGGTGGAATTGCATAAGAGGGGAGTGAGGAACGGGCCGTGTGGAGCTGCGACGATGACGGCGTTGAAGAGGGTGTGTGAGGACAGAAGGATGAAGGAGACGTTGGGGTTGGACGAGACGTCAGTAGTTGTTTTGTTTAGCACGGAAGGGGCCAGAGACTACATCATCCCATCTGGTGCTTGAACTCATAATCCCCATCCCGAGGTCTCATAAAGATAATATCATATATCCCATCGGACCATTCCCTCAACCAAGCGTCTTAGTCTTCTCCTTCTTCTCCTTTTGCCTCTCCATAACATTCAACACATCATCCGCATTATTCTTATCCCCCTTCCTCTTCTTGCCACCCCGCTTCCTCACCTTCTTCGGCCCCTTACCCCCTTCCTCGCCTTCCTCATCATCGCCTTCAGCACCCAGTCCCTTCCACTGACTGAACTTGACTTTCTCGCCTTCCCGCTCCATCTCCTCCGCGTCATCGAATCGCGACGCTCCGAAACCCATGTCCATGTCTTCCATATCGCGATCGGAAGCTGCCAACTCCGCAGCACGTTTCTTGAGTCGCGCTTCTTTCGATGCGGGGTCGTTGGGGTCGGTGGATCCGAGGTTTTGGAGGAGTGTGGAGTTTTCGTCCAGGTTGCGGACTTTGGCGAGGGCGGCGCGGACGGTGGCGTCGGCGGCGGATAGGTCGGAGGGTTCGGCTGTGGAGGTTGAGCGGGCTGTGGTTGCGAAGTAGTCTCGTTTGGCGGGCGCGGCGGGCGCGTTGTCTTTGGGTTTCGCTGGAACGTCTTCTTCTGCTTCTGAAGATACCTCCCCTTCTGATTGTGAACCCGCGGCATCGAGCTTAGGTGCAGTAGGCTCTGGCTTCGCTGTCTCTTCGTCCGATTCGTCGTCTGAGTCGTCGAAGTTTGCGAGCGGGTTGTAGTTCGACCCAACTCCTGCGAATATATCCTCGTCCTCTGACTCTTCCTTCTTCGGCTCAGGGAGGTTGTGCATGTTGATCGGCTTATTCACATCGTCCAGATCGTGACGCACTTCGGGCGCTGGCTCCTCGACCTTCTGCTTCTTGACCTTTCTCTTCTCTTTGCCATCTGGACCGGTGATGATCAGCACCTCACGACCCTTCTCGTCTTTCTCGATGCGTGTGTCTCCCTGGGCGTTGATCTTGCGGAAGCCTGGTCCCAGGGTGGGAAACCTCTTCTCGTGCTCGGCCGCGGCGGCTGCTGCTGCCTCTTCCCGTTGTCTCTTGAGATCCTTCAGGATGTCGTTGCGACTCCTCTTGACGCCAGCAACGGGACGCGGTCCAGTCAGTTTCTCGCCCTTCTTCTCAGTCTTCTCGCGTGTAATGGGGCCGACATCCGCCTCTGCCAGCTCGTCGAACGCGTCTTCCACCTCTGGTACCTCTTCAGCCTCCTCCTCCTCTTTTTCTTCTTCTTCTTTCTTGTCTAGGCCACCCAGAACATCCTCGCCCCGCCTCACCCTCTCGAGCAGCTTCCTGTCCAGGCCCTTCACTAAATGTGTGGTCCCAACATCACCACCCGTAATCTCCTGCACGAGCTTCTCGAACGTCTCGCGATCGATCTCGCCCTTCTTCATGGACTCCTCGAGGTTCTTGACGCGTTTGGCAATCTCACTGTCTTCCTCGTGGGTGTAAGCCTTCGTGCGGTCGGTGTAGCCTGCGGCGAGCCTCGTTCCTTTGGGCACTATGTTCCTAGCCTTCTTTTGTGGGTTGTTCTTCGCGTTGCGCTCGGCGAGTTGGCGCGCAAAGTCTGATTGTATTGAGCCCTTGCCTACCTGGCGACTGCGTATCTGTTAGCATCAGTCCTGCGCGAGACACTGTGGGAATGACTTACGGTGTCATTGGTATGCTCGAGTGCTTGCGCGCGCCCAACACCGCCCTCGGCGTTGCCGCTGCAGGTGATTTGCCCTTGCCGTCATCCTGTGGTTTCGGTGTTTCGACTAGCAGCCGCCTGAATTGCGAGTTGTTCATGGTGCGCGAGTTGAGAGGTTGGTGGAGAGTCGTGATTCGCAAAAGATGTGCCAAGACTCTGCAGGCGTCTCCGGGTCGCGCCTGCACCACGCGAGGCTACGCTAAAGAAGCGTGGCTGGTCCAACGCGGGGAACCTTGAGCGCTCAACACAACTCCAGCCTCGTCTACTACCGGATTGTATTGCGTCAGCACGATCACGATGGTAAATGTATGGAATTCTCGAGGCACGGACAATGCCTTAATTTGCGTAGTCTTCGGTACCCTGCCGCTTCGGCTCTAGCTGGCTGTCTGTAAGGTTGCAGCGCGATCTTACTTATGCAGGATCACAAGACTACTGTAGGGAAATGCTACCTGTTTCCCTGTACGAGAGTTACGCTATGCCGCCACAGTAAAACGATCGTGCATAGCCCGAAAGGTTCTGTATCTTCCCCATTTCACTTGCTAGGCACCCTGTGATCCCCACCACCCCGCTTCCTCTCCGCATAAGTACTTGAACAGCCGGGTAAATTGTTGAACTCACCTCCCACGCCTCCCCTTCCCCGGTATTCTGTGACATTGTGACGGCAGTATGTTCAAGCTTCTGATTGCTGCGGCTCTTGCTGCGGTGGGCGCGTCCCAGTACGCCATGCCGCCTAACACGACCAATTCAACTACATTCATGAACCCGATCGTGGACGCTGGAGCAGACCCGTAAGTCAATCCTCCGAATTATTTTACCATCCGTCTGAACATCATCTAGCTGGATGTTCCGCCACGAGGACTACTACTACATGACCTACACCAACAACGTCAACATCACCCTCTGGCGCAGCAAGTCCCTGACCTCCTGGGACGCCGCAGAGTCCAAGACCATCTTCGTCCCCGAGCCCGACCAGGCCTACTCCACCGACCTCTGGGCGCCCGAAATCCACCAAATCGACGGAAGCTGGTGGGTAATCTTCACCGCAGACCCCAACTTCGACTCCCCACCACCCGAGGTGGAGATGTGGTGCGAGTACAACTGCCCCGCCGTCAATCACCGCATGTTCACCGTCGTCGGCGAAGGCAAAGATCCCTGGACCGCCGAGTACCGCTACCACAGCGAACTCGAGACGTACGATCAATTCGCCATCGACGGAACCTACTTCCAGCACGCCGACCAATTGTACCACATCTACTCGTGCTGGTACCACAAGTACGACGGCTGGCCAGCAAACCTCTGCATCACCAAGATGTCCGACCCTTCCACCACCGTCTCCCCCTTCTCCGAACGCCAGATCATTTCCGTCCCAGAGTACGCCTGGGAAAAGACACCCTTCGGCCGCTCCATCAACGACCGCCTCTCCTCCAACGAAGGCCCCCAACAACTCACCAACCCCACCACCGGCCAAAACTTCCTCATCTACAGCGCCGCCCGCTCAGACAACCGCAACTACTGTCTCGGTCAGCTCGAGCTCGTTGGCGACGATCCCATGAACCCTAGCGACTGGCGCAAGCATCCTTACCCCGTTTTCTACCAGAATCCTAGTGAGAAGGCGTACGGTGTTGGTCATGCGTCTTTTACGACGTCGCCTGATGGATCCGAGGATTGGATCGTTTACCATGGTATGCAGGATCCGACGAATGGGTGGAGTGCGAGGTCGATTCGTGCGCAGAAGTTTGGCTGGAATGAGGATGGGAGTCCGGACTTTCCTAAGCCGGGGTATGGGCCGTATCAGGTTCCTAGTGGGCAGTAGAGGGGTTATTGATGTGGTGTCTGGGTTTACGGGATGAGGGCGGGGTTGTGAAGCTTCTCCTGCTTTGCGGCTGGTGTTGCCTGCGTCTTCTGGGCGGCGGCGCCCGGCTGTGTTAAAGGGTTGTGAAGAGAGCCTCTTCCGCCCTGTCTCTTGCATACAGACCTTGGGTAATACCTAGGTATCTGGACCTCTCCGGATATATTACTAGCTTAATGATAACGATCATGACAAACTTGACCGACCCTTGTTGAGACCCCATCTTTTGTGCGATACCCTCCGTCGTGGAGATGATGATAATAGATGTTGATTCTCGTACTGATTCAAGCGATTACTCTGTTTCATATGTGACTTGATGGCATACTGTAGACATGCGTGCCTTACGTACACGCTGGCGAGCGCGGCTTCCACCAAGCATGCTCACCACCCGGAAGTTTTGCGCAACCCACCACATCGCTCGGAAATATGCAAAACCTACATGTTTGGTGCTTTCTGGGGCTTCGGAACATAGCATGAGTCTCCGATACGATTTTATGATATCCGAATCTGTGCTGTTGTTCTGACCTTTGCGATTGTGTAGAGGATTCTATTGTCTGTTTTTGCTGTTTAGGACTCAACACGTAACATGTTCAAAAAATCACAACACAACCACATCTTACTCAAATTACGCCAAAACTGACGGATCGACTAATATAACACATGGACACACTTCACGCGATTTTGAGATTATTTGAGCATCATTGTGGAAGTCTACGCGTTGGAGCTCTGCGGAAGCGTCTTTCCGAAGCAGTCAAACTACACGTATAGTCACAACCACACGACGCGAATTAAACACACAGCGCGATATTAATGCAAGTATACAGTCACACGCATACGAAGAATATGAAATGCTACATATCGTTCACATATAGAACTCCGCGTTGCATGGCCGTGGTACGTATGGAAGACGTGACGTCATACGTCCAACAGCCAAACTTCGCAGCCGTCTTCACGCAGGTGGCAATAAGCGCAAGCTATGAGTCATGCTACGAGCGGTCAGACGGAGCAGTCAATGAGTCACGCAACGTCCCGTCCATTGTTAACGCGAACGAGATGAAAGTCGGTCTGGCAAACTGTACATGGTACTAGTTCACATGCACACTAGCAGAACAAAAGGCGGAACAGCACACCGCGGAAGTGGAGCATAACAGCAATGACCACCGCGTTCACTCAAAGTTGGCAGACGCGTCGCACATCACGGCAGAAGACAAGTAGATGAAGTTATTATGGTATCATTCCATGCAAATCAGAACCCGACTGATATAACCGTGAACTCCGAGCCTTCTTATACTATACAAGGCCATGACCATCCCACCAAGCACCGAAGAGGCGACCGTAGACTGCTGAAGAAGCCAGCCGGACAAAAGTCGTAACATTGAAAACCGTAAGAGCGAGAAGAAGACGACGCGCTTAACCACCGAAACCGTACAGAGTGCGGCCTTGACGCTTAAGAGCGTAGACAACGTCGAGGGAGGTAACGGTCTTGCGCTTGGCGTGCTCGGTGTATGTGACGGCGTCACGGATGACACCCTCGAGGAAGGTCTTGAGAACACCGCGGGTCTCCTCGTAGATCACTGAGGTGGGTTAGCGAGGTAGTGAGGGAGGTAGTGGAGGAGACATACTGGCTGAGATACGCTTGACACCGCCACGACGTGCGAGACGACGGATAGCGGGCTTGGTGATACCCTGGATGTTGTCGCGGAGAATCTTGCGGTGGCGCTTGGCACCACCCTTTCCGAGACCCTTGCCACCTTTGCCGCCTGGGAGACGCGTCAGTAAAGTGTTGATGGTGAAGGACGACGCGTTGAGCGCGCCGAACTGTGGAGGGGGTGGGAATACTCACGACCAGTCATGATGATAGATGTGGGGGGTTGTTGTGTTGGGGAGAGGGTGTTGTTGGTTGTAGAGTGAGAGAGTGGTAGTAGTGGATTGGATGCTTTGGTGATGATGGGAATTAGTTGGGGCGGCGGGCGTCGTGTTTATGAGGCAGCGGGGCGCGTCGTCTTGCGCGCCGGATCACACGCCAGCCACGCCAGATCAAAGCCGCGCACGGGCGCGCTTTCCAGATCAACGCCCGTGCCCCTTCCCAATCGGGGCGCGCAGCAAGCGAGCCAATGGGCAATGCGCGCCGCAGTGTGGACTTGGTGGTTTTGAAGTTGCAGCGCGCGCAGGTTAGCATGCTTAGCATGGCTTTGGTGTTCCTGGTGCGCGCTGTGAGGGAGCGCAACAAAGATTGATTTTCCAGGCAGCCGCCCGCCCCCCATTTACCATATAAGCTGCGCCCGCCCACCCTCCTCCATCTCTCATCCACTCAACTCCACTCACCATCACAACAACCATCTACCACATCCACATCTCCATCTCCATCCCACTACAACAACATGGCCCGCACTAAGCAGACCGCCCGCAAGTAAGCTTCGCCTCTTCAACATTATAACAACTATCATACTAACAATCTCTCAGGTCCACTGGTGGCAAAGCCCCCCGCAAGCAGTTAGTCTAGCCTTAGCTCTACTTTGCACCTCACCGCAGCATACTAACTTCACTTCAAGGCTCGCATCCAAGGCAGCTCGCAAGTCCGCACCGGTTAGTACCATCCTCACTTACCTTTGCGACAAATACTAATTTCCTCAGTCAACCGGTGGTGTCAAGAAGCCTCACCGCTACAAGCCCGGAACCGTCGCTCTCCGTGAGATCCGTCGCTACCAGAAGTCGACTGAGCTCCTCATCCGCAAGCTGCCCTTCCAGCGTCTTGTCCGTGAGATCGCTCAGGACTTCAAGTCGGATCTCCGCTTCCAGTCCTCTGCCATCGGCGCTCTCCAGGAGTCCGTCGAGGCCTACCTCGTCTCGCTCTTCGAGGACACCAACCTCTGCGCCATCCACGCCAAGCGTGTCACCATCCAGAGCAAGGACATCCAGCTCGCCCGCCGCCTCCGTGGTGAGCGCGGTTAAGCTTCTCACCTTCGATATATCGACACGACTATGACAACTTCTTCGGGTCGGTGATGGATTGGGTCTTTGGGTCGGATATTTAGGCGTTTGGGTTCATGGTTCACGGTCTTCAACTCGGTTTATGAGTGCACACGAGCGGTGCTGAGCATGTAGTATATCCAGGTTAATCAGTGATGGTCACTGGCGATATTCCACGAAATCAACAGATTTCTACTTCATTCTATCTTCTTCTATGATTGTGATGTTTGCTTTGACTTTCAGGGTGTCGCCAACTCTTCTTCGCTCAGCTCCTTGGTGTTCATGCCACTGCGCTATCTCGACTGGTCGCGAATAGTCGCGATGCGGCTCTCACCCCGCAACATGACGCCCATCGCAGTTACTAACTCGACCAACACGACGCAGCACCTCGGCGAACGGTACACTAACAGCTGAGACGACTACCATGTCTTCCCGTGAATGCTGCGCAATCGCGCATCTTCATCCAACCCTTCACACCTCTTCACGATGACCTGGCAAACCGAATTCTGGTCATGGATGTCGCCACCCACAGTGCAGACCGCTGAAGTCCCAGCCGTCGGCCAGAAGGCGCCCTCCACGCCCAAACTCACCATACCAGCACAAGATGGCAAGCCAACGATTATCAGCTTCCTCCGACACTGCGGATGTCCTTGTACGTACCCTATTGAAAAGACCATGACGATACAATCTCACCAACACCACCACAGTCGCAGAAAAAACCTTCCTAAACATGCGCGCCCTCGCGCCCGCTCACCCAGACATCCATTTCATAGCCGTTTCGCACAGCGACCAAGCGGCTACGGACCGCTGGCTTGCATCGTTGCCTGAACCGGAGAAGAACACGCAACCTAACCTCAGCATCGTTGTAGACGCAGAACGCGAAGCATATGCCGCGTGGGGTCTAGGCACGTCCAGCTTGTGGCATGTCCTCGGTAGTATACCTGGTACGAGCAAGTTGAGCAAAGAGGGCATTAGCGTGAGGCCGACTGAGAGTGGGAGTCGGTGGCAGACGGCGGGCAATTTTGGGGTTGACGCGCAGGGGGTTGTGAGATGGAGTAGGGTTGATGGGAGGGCGGATGATATGCCGGATTTTAAGGAGGGGGTGGATAAGGTGCGCGGGGGCAAGTTTGAGACGGGGGGTTTTGCTGAGGCTATGCAGGGTTGATGGGGGGTGTGGTTGTTATGATGTGTTTGTGTAGATTGTATGTGATAGTTGTAGTTGGTATTATGGTTGTGCTGTTGTTGCGTTTTGCAATGTGAAGACGCGGATTATGTGTCGCATTTGAGGTGCGAGATAAATGTGAAGCACAACGCGTTCTTGCATCCTTCTCACGACCATGTGAAGAGTCCAGGCTCTATGGTCGTGATAAGACACCTGTCTCCTTCTCGTAACACACATTTCTGAATTTCCTGACTATGGTGATCAAAGACAACCCCTCGATTGGCCCGCCCACCGATGACCTCACGATAACACGCGAAAACGCGCCAACACTCGAAGCGCGTCAAAGTGTCGCCACGCACACAACAGACCCGCCGCGGCCGGATCATGGCATCATGGCTGCACCGTCCACACGGCTGACGGCTCGCGCGAGCGAGTATGGCTCAGATATCGACATCCAGTCCATCGCGACGCTGAGCGACTACGGCTCGGACATTGACATTGACGACGACACCATACTCGCCGACGCCTTTGACACGATAGCAGACGCTGCGCAAACCCAGAAGAGCGCAGTCCTCCCCAGCATAGAATTTGAAGAGGGCGAACTCGAAGACGAAGAGCAGGATGTGGACGGCTTCGTGCAGATTCATAGACCCACGGTCCTGCGCGTTGCAAAGGGCAAGGCCAGTGTCGACGCGGATGCACAGAGGGATGTACAGAGCTCGCCCATGCGAGAGCGCAAGGCGCTGGAAGTCGAGTACGACGAACGTTCGCGACGGGCGTGGAGTGGTGCGTTGATCCAGACTCGCAGCAGTGGCATTGGCATGACTGACGACTAACAGCGCTTAGTTCCTCACGAACAATCAGCCTCTCCCCCCAGACCCTCGCAATTACGATCTGATCGCAGCATATCGCAGTCTACGCGCGCCGCCTCTACCACACAGGCCGTACAGGCAGCCGAAATCGACAACCGGCCGCCTATCGAGCGGTTCCGAACGAAGCCCAAGAAGTGTCTTTCGGTGACTGATCTCGTCTCACCAGCATGGTGCGAGCTGCAGTACTTTTACACTTTGAGCAAGTTTGGGCGCAAGCCACGAACGCAGGCGATGAAGACTGGTAGCAAGATCCACCAAACGCTGGAAGATCAGGTACACACGACAGTGCCAGTGCAGGTTGAGAGCAAAGAAGACCGATTCGGCCTACGCATGTGGAACGCTATATCTGGCCTGCGCTGTCTCCGCGAGACTGGCCTTACGCGTGAACTGGAAGTTTGGGGCGTGCTCGAAGGCCAAGTCATCAACGGTGTGATCGACGAAATCTCATACGAATGTCCGGATACCGAATTCGAAGAGGAACTCGAGCGAACCCGCGCCGAGAAAAATGGCGGTATCGTCCCCCTACCCCCAGGCCAACTCAGCATCACAGACGCCTTTGCAAAAGCCAGCAAACCGCCCTCCTCCAGCCCACTAGTCTCCACACCACCTCTCGACCGCCAAATCTACATCGCAGACGTAAAAACCAGATCCGCGAAGTCTCTCCCAACCGGCGCGTCCCTCCGCCCTACGTGGATGCAACTAATGCTCTACCGCAAACTCCTCGAGTCCCTCTCCCTCAACACCGTCGACGCCGAAACCGTCTTCGCCCGCTACTCCCTCGACCCCCTCACCCCCTTCACCCCGCTCTTCCTCTCCGAAATCAGCAACATCGGCCCCGAAAACGGCGTCTCCTCCTACCCCAACCTACTCGCCCTCTGGTCCTTGCTCGTCACCGAAATGCAAGCCACATTCCCTCCTTCCAGCCTCTCCCCCATCCTCCGCGCGGAGTTTAGGTATGCGAAGACGGGGGATGTGTTGGGCAGTCGGCTTACGGTGTATGAAGCGGGTGTTGTTGATGGGTATGTGGAGAGCGAGATGGATTGGTGGAAGGGGAGGAGGGAGGCCAAGGGCGTGGAGATTGAAGAGGCGTTTAAGTGTCGGATTTGTGATTTTAGTGAGGAGTGTAGTTGGAGGAAGACGAAGGTTGAGGAGGCGGTGGAGAAGAGTCGGTTGAGGAGGGAGAAGGAGGCGAAGGAGAGGGGGAAGAGTGCTGTTTAGGGGGTGGGTGGAGAGAGATGTTATTGCTGCTGGTGTGAGATATGGTCATTGTTCGTTTTCGTGCTGATGTACCACCTCAGTTTTGGAAGAAGCTGAAAAGGTGTTTCGTAGACTACATTATCATTATCAACCCGAAATTCAGCAAAATCTCAACGCAACGTAGGCTTTGAAGTTGTCTTCACTTCTATCCTCTGTAGGCGAAATGTTCATTCTTTACATTAAATAAGGTGCTGCAATCATCTTATTGTATGCTGCTGTTGATCAATATACACGAACGCGCTACTTTACACATCTTCTATCTTTTTTTACATTTTCTTCTGTCATTACACAAGCTTCATCTCGATAGTTCTATACTTAGACAGCATAGCTGCCCACTATTGTCAACTCGCAGAGGGTGTGGCAGAGGTAGAAGTCTCACCAGTTGAACTTTCTATGAAAGCTGACCCGTGACGCAAATCGCCAAAGGACGTTTCGTGTCGACATGAATTTTGCTAGTCTTCCAATCGAAAGAGTATGGCACCGCAAATGTGCCAACGGCATCTTGTCACGGAAGTGTCTCCCACGTTTATTAATATGTAGCTGGACGAATACAATGGTGTATGTTGGCTGGCTTCATCACTAATAACATTATTTGAGCGCCGACATCTATGGCGGTAATGTAACTTTTGACAACGGAACGCTATCGTATGCCACAGGCACCCTGAAGGTTTATCGCTGTACAAGCGTGACTCCATCAAGAGCGTCTGAGAATCCTAGTGCCAAAGGTAGATTAGCTCGTCTACCCAAGACCACCAAGATCTACGTTAGATAGCGATTAACGAATAAGCTGAGCTGTTAGTAATCTTTCCGCCTCAACTCAAACCGAAAACACCATCATGTTGTTCGCATCCTAATCAAGCACCCCAGAAACATTAATCAACCAATACACCTAGCCACCCTCACCCACTCCCCATCCCGCCTCAGACATTCCAAATCCTGCTCTCGCAAACACATGGCAACAGCCACACTCCCATCCCTACTCTTCGGCATCAAATACATCAGTCCCTCTACAGGCACAAAGCTCGGTCTGCGCACAGCAACCGCAGGACCCAGCCCGAGTCCAAAGTCCCACACGTAAGCCGGTACTTTGGTCCACGAGCTAAGCGCAATATCCACGCTCATATCGAGGGTAGCTGTCGGACTCGTTTTCGCCGCATTGTCTGGTGATTGCGACAGGAAAGTGACGAGAGAACGTGTTCGGCGTGCGATGTCTGAGGTTTTGGGGTCGATGGATTGGCGCATGGCGGCGGCGATGTGGCCGAGAGGAGTGGAGAGGAGGGTGGGTAGTGTGTAGGTAATGTATGTCATGTTTTGGAGTATGCCGGGGTAGTTGGGGTGGATGTTTAGGTAGCGTCTTGCATCTACAGCTCGTGCGAAGGTCGTTGATATGTTAGGGGGTAGGCGTGTTTGTCTTGCGCGTAGAACGGAGAGGAATATGAAGGCGGAGAGGGCGTCGTCGGTTGATATGAAGCTGGTGGAGTCTTGGGGAAGTGTGGTTGTTGCGAGGTGCTTTAGTGACTTTAAGGACGATGCTGAGAAGTCGAAGTACATCCAGCTGCAGTTGACAGGTGCTCCAGTAACCGTTGACTCGGCGGTATCTAGCTCTTTGACAACCGTGGGAGCTGGAGGAAAAAGCTGGTTCTGCAGTTCCATTCCAGGGTCCCAGCCCTCATCCTCAATAAGCGGTACAACACCCGTTCTTACCATATTACCTACCTTTCGCTCCTCTTCAGTGAACCCCTCACCTCGACATGCCTTGGACAACCAGCCTATCACAGCCGCCTGTCCCATCATATCGCACACATTATGTTGCAAATTAACACAAAGCACCATACCACCACGGATATAACTGATCTGCACAAGCATCACCGGAGCAGGTCGATCATCCTTCCCAGACGCTTCCCTCGGATCAAACCCCAAAGCAGCGAGCGTAGGACACGGCGCCCAAACACGCTCACCCAACATCTTCATCGGGAAACCCGCATCTATGATCTGCGACGCGCTGGGTATCTCCGCATCGGAAGTATAATCTCGTACGATTAATTGCGGCACCGGTTCGTACGGCCGGATCCTGTAAAGGGGCGCGGCCTTGGATTCGGAATCGGAGTGATGAGAATTTGCGTCGACGTTGACGACCTGACCAGCAACCCACGGCAAAGTCTTTGCTAGCTCTGCCAATCCGGTGGTGATGATCGCAGTGATACCGTCCCGTGACGCTGGTACCAGCCCCTCCGACAGCGGAAAGAACAAGGCAAGTTGGGTATAAAGCTTGAACAGAGCGGGCTGGGCACCCATCAGGTCGATATCCATATCCAAATCCGGAAGCGTCATGTTCGGCAACTAGGATACGTGCGGTGATCCTTTGAACAACATGTCAGTTCCAACGATGGCGTGATGGGATTTGAATGGCAACTGTATAGTAGTGACATTCTGGGCTTACGCGTATGGTGGTGCTGGTGATGAGGTGCCGTTTTCTGGACCCCGCAGTGGTTGACTGACTGAACTGACAGGTACGAAGCGTCCCGCCTTCTGAAACTGCAAACGCGTCAAGGCCTGACGCAGAATTGACCGCAGTTCCTCCTGCTCGTCTCTTGCGTGAGGTCTGGACTCGCTGATGGTGTGCAAGATAGATGGGATTATCCTAAGCAGCGTTGGTAGCGGTTTACTTTGTACACAAGAACAAGTGCACAAACAGCGTAAACTCATCATGACTCATTCTGATGCTGTGAGACGTTGCTCAAAGCATCGTGAGATGAATCAAGATCAGCTTTCAAGGGCCGCCGTAGCGATGGTATGTTGTGAACTCCATCCCACAAAGCACAACATCCACCTCTCGAACGTATATGCATCAAAGGGCCGCCAGGTTATCGTCGC